ATGACTCTTTGAGCTGTGAGTGTGATATTGCTCATAAATATCAGAGTATATGAAACAGCTTTCATTCTTCAGGTCAATCATATATTCATGGAAATAAATCAGTTTGAATAAGGAAAGCGATATCTTTATCATCGTATCCTTTCAGTGGTTACAGTTTCCACAGTCATTGCATGTTGTTTATCTATTTACCTTTTTTTAGAATTTGAAAGATATAAAAAAGATATTGTTTGATAAGTGAGAGCTCTGATTGAAGTCTTTGAAAAGCAAAAAAGTAGTGCTTGAAAAGTCCATTTTACAGGATCTGTACGAACCCTGTGTTTTGCAAAACGTTTGTTTTACGTTCGATCTGAAGATACACGAGTTACGAGTGTGTGTCTCAAGTGTGTAAGTGATTGTAAAACAATAGTGTACTGGTTAAAGACAGAAGATATTTAGATGCAGATTCAGAACCCACTCATAGAAATGCGTGATTCTGTCCGTGTGTGTGTGTGTGTGTGTAGGATGTGAAGATAAGACAGACTGGAGGAACGGCTCTGGATCTTCCAGAGGATGATCTGTTCTTACAGGAACAGTACGTGATCCGGGTGAGAGTCAAGCTTGATCTTAAAAACGCGATCTGGAGCGACTGGAGTCAGGAGTACAGCTGGACATCTGAAGTGGGCCAGACCCGCCCCACACCAGGTGACTCACACACACACACACACACACACACACACACACACACACACACACACACACACACCTGTCCGACTGCACTGACACAGAGACGCACACACACACACACACACACACACACACACACACACACACACACGCACACACACACGCACACACACCTGTCCGACTGCACTGACACAGAGACGCACACACACACACACACACACACACACACACGCACACACACACGCACACACACCTGTCCGACTGCACTGACACAGAGACGCACACACACACACACACACACACACACACACACACACACACACACACACCTGTCCGACTGCACTGACACAGAGACGCACACACACACACACACACACACACACGCACACGCACACGCACACACACACACCTGTCCGACTGCACTGACACAGAGACGCACACACACACACACACACACAAACACACACACGCACACGCACACGCACACACACCTGTCCGACACTGCACTGACACAGAGACACACACAAACACACACACACGCACGCACACACACCTGTCCGACTGCACTGACACAGAGACGCACACACACACACACACACACCTGTCCGACTGCACTGACACAGAGACGCACACACACACACACACAAACACACACACGCACACACACACGCACACACACCTGTCCGACTGCACTGACACAGAGACGCACACACACACACACACACACACCTGTCCGACTGCACTGACACAGAGACGCACACACACACACACACACACACACACACACACACACCTGTCCGACTGCACTGACACAGAGACGCACACACACACACACACACGCACACACACCTGTCCGACTGCACTGACACAGAGACACACACAAACACACACACACGCACACACACACACCTGTCCGACTGCACTGACACAGAGACACACACAAACACACACACACGCACGCACACACACCTGTCCGACTGCACTGACACAGAGACGCACACACACACACACACACACACACACCTGTCCGACTGCACTGACACAGAGACGCACACACACACACACACACACACACACACACACACCTGTCCGACTGCACTGACACAGAGACGCACACACACACACACGCACGCACACACACCTGTCCGACTGCACTGACACAGAGACACACACAAACACACACACACGCACGCACACACACCTGTCCGACTGCACTGACACAGAGACGCACACACACACACACACACACACCTGTCCGACTGCACTGACACAGAGACACACACACACACACACACCTGTCTGACTGCACTGACACAGAGACACACACACACACCTGTCCGAATGCACTGACACAGAGACACACACACACACACACACACACACACACTCCGGTGACACTAACTCAGGCGCTGTGTGTGTCCTCAGGCGTCCCCGTGTTCCTGCCGCTGGATTGGTCAGTCGCAGGATTCACACTGACAGGAATCACTCTGGTTCTCGTATCGGTGTGTGTTATTCTCATCCGCTGCGACAGGAGAAAGAGGTGAGAGACGCTGATAACACACACTCCACACACCTACACGACACACGACAACTGGGGCTGTATGAGAACTATAATCATAACCAGAACTATTACTATAATGATTACTATAACTACAATAATGATGACAACAAATTAGGGAAAGATTAATCGCATCCAAAATAAAAGTTTGTGTTTACATAATATATGTGTGTGTACTGTGCATTACTATTTTGTATATAGAAATATTTATATATTTAGGAAAAATGTGTTATTTATACAATATTTGAAAAATTATGTATAAATATTTTGTACAGTATATACATGCAAATATTTCTTAAATTTGCATGTGTGTATTTATATGCACAAAATAATTATACACGGTTCACACACATATATTATGTAAACACAAACTTAATTTTGGATGCGATTAATCGTTGCCCAGCATTACAATTAATTTTCACGATAACTATAACAATAATTGTAGCAATTACTATAGCGATAAATATTACATTAACTATAGTAATAAAGATAACAATAATGATGATACCTATAACGATTATTATAACTATAATGATAAAGGTAAATATATCAATAACAATAATGATAACAGTAACAATAAGTATGATAATAATAATAGCGATAACTTTGCAATGATAGCGATAGCGATAACTATAACAATATATATAATGTTATGGACAACTATAACAATAACTATGAAAACAGTAACTATAACAATAAATATAATGTTATGGACAACTATAACAATAACTATGCAAATGATAACTATATCAATAACTGTAATGATAACCATAACTATAATGTTGACTATAAAAATTACTATAAGAATAACTATAATGACAACATTAACTGTAATAATGATAACAATAAATATAATAACTATAACGATTACTGTAATAATAACTATGATACAAATATTAATGATAATAACAATAACTATACTGATAAGGATAACTATGAAAATGATAACTATATCAGTAATTGTAATGATAACCATAACTATAATGATAACAATAACTAAAATAATAACAACTGTATTAATGATAACAATAAATATAAATATAACGATAACTATGATAATGATAACGAAGAATATAATGATAACTATAACAATAACTTTAAAGATAAAAATAATAATAATTATAACTGTAACAATAACTATAAAGATAAAAATAATAACTATAACTATAACAATAACTATAAAGATAAAAATAATAATTATAACTGTAACAATAACTATGATTTTATTCAGCGAGAACAAAGACATGAACTAGCACTCTCAGTGCTCATGAGTAACGGCCTCTTCCCTTCAGCCTCCAGAAGAAGTGCTCCCTGTATATTCCTGATCCCTCCAAGTTCTTCGGAGATCTGAACTCTCAACACGGAGGGAATTTTACGGTGAGTCCCGTGCGACCAGATAATCAGTTCTGTTTATGCTTGTTCATAATCATACTCGGCCTGGAGAACTGAGCGACTGGGTTCTCCCGAGGGTTCCTCCATTCTGTCACTGATGGGGTTTCGGTTCCTCCACTGTCGCCTTAGTCTTCTGGCTTGCTTAGTTGGGGACATTTAATATAATATTCAACAATATTATTGATCTCCTGCATTGACACCATTAAATGAGAACTGAACTGAACTGGACGATGACATCACTGTTTTCTCCAAAGCGGATATATATATATATATATAAAAGAACTAAATTAATAACTTTTTTTACAACAAAAATGAACCATCACTGATCTTAGTTAAGTACAGCAGAAACACCCTTTAGGGGCTTTCGCACCGGGTAGTTCTAGGAACTTAGTTATAAGAACTAACAGTCCTGTAATACATTATTAGATAGAACTGTTATACATAGAAAGACAGTAATGATTAGCGTATGGCGTGTGGTTTGATTGAGCAGTGTTGCTGAGCAGAAATACATAATTTCTCTCGGTCTCCTCAAAGATGTGTTGGAGTTTCTCCTCAGTGTAAAGATTAAAGGGATAGTTCACTTTGGAATTAATTTTTGGTATGTTTTAGCTTACCTCAAGGGCATCCAAGATGTAGGTGTCTTTGTTTCCGCAGTAGTTTCAATTTTGATATTTTTAGGTCAAACCGTTCTTGTCTGTCTGTCATATAATGCAGGTCTATGGTCACCACCTCAAAGAGCATGCACAGAGAAGTCCAAATTAAACATGATTTAATGACTCGTAAATGTAAGCACACATTGAGGGCCTAAGACACGAAACGAGCGGTTTGTGTGAGAAAACCAACAGTATTTATATCGTTTTTACCTCTTGTAACCACAGCCACGTCCAAGTGATCTGACGGCGGTTCGGTCTTTTCCGGAAAGCATCGGAAGTGATCTCTCGCGCGTGTACGTCACTCATACAATTTTTTTTTTTTTTTTTTTTTTTGGAATTGTTTTCTTTTACGACGGTTTAAACATCCCGAATAAGCGGAAATTAGTACCCTTTTAATTAGCCGTCTTACCTACAATCTCTGCTCTGTGTAAACAATGAGTGACGTACACGCGCGAGGTTTCACTTCCGGCGCTTTCCGGAAAAGACCGAACCGCCGGCGCCGTCAGATCACTTGGACGTGGCTGTGGTTACAAGAGGTAAAAACGATATAAATACTGTTGGTTTTCTCACACAAACCGCTCGTTTCGTGTCTTAGGCCATCAATGTGTACTTACATTTACGAGTCATTAAAGGTGCTCTATGTAACTTTTCTACTAAAATGAATCCTTTTTTTATTGCCTGTGTGTGAAGGGGTTGTAATCACACATTAAAATGATCCACTTGTCGAGTTTTGCTATTACCTCTGAAGGCCAGTATTCCTATTTCTATGTGAAGTCTCCGGGTCGGATTTACCGCGAAATCCAACGGATGTGACGTGCATGCGCGCTCCCGAGCCTCTCTCCTTATATACAGTCTATTGTAGACGGTCAGGGAGTTACGTCCGGTTAAAGGCGCACGTTTTTGGGCTTATATCTTAGTCAATCTTTGATCAATATTCCCAAGACTCCAATCGTTCGTAGTGCTGGACGGGGCCTTTCGAACGAGCCCACCCCCGAGGTCCCAGCGAACGGCGATCCGGTAGGGGGCGTCCCCGCGGCCCGCCACTCTAGCGTTCGGGCAAGGGTTCCCCTGGGACCTCCTCCCCCGAATTTGAGCTCTCTGGGTCTTTGCGTTCCAGAGATACGAGCGATTTTCTTCTGAGATCGTGACGTCACCGGCGTCCGCAATTTTGCAGCGCGCCCGATGGTTTTCTGCTAATATCTCCGCGAAAACACCACCAAAAACTATGGAACTTATATGGTTTTTTTCAGCTCGACTAGATGGTCCCATCGAGCTCGGTGCTCGCCGAATCCGTCAAGTATTCGCCGAGATTTTTGCGTAATAGACGGTATTGTCTATGAGTTCGAGCACGAGCGCTCTTGTAAAATTTGGTTGCAATCTGAAACATCACCACTAGAGGCCGCTAAAAGTTACGTAGAGCACCTTTAAATCATGTTTAATTTGGACTTCTCTGTGCATGCTCTTTGAGGTGGACCCCATAGACCTGCATTATATGACTGACAGACAAGAACGGTTTGACCTAAAAATATCAAAATTGAAACTACTGCGGAAACAAAGACACCTACATCTTGGATGCCCTTGAGGTAAGCTAAAACATACCAAAAATTAATTTCAAAGTGAACTATCCCTTTAAGAGCTTCATCTATCTCTGTTTTACATGTTCGTGGAGTTTCTGGAGTAAATATATAGGCTATAATCTGTGTGTTTACACGGCTTTTTAAAAATGGCGGGTGTTGGTGTTCGCGTGCGTTCGGCCAATCAGCGAACACTAACGTTACGGATAGTTCCTATAGCGCTGGTTTAGACGGACTCTGAAGTAGGAGTAAATTAGTTCCTCCAAAAGGAGTTCCTAGAACTAGAATCGTTCCTCGTTCCTGCGGTGCGAACACGCCAACATCCGGGAGCTTCCGCCAATAGTTCTAGGAAGGTTCCTCCGGTGCGAAAGCCTTTGTGTTGCATTATTTTCCTGTTATCACTGGAAAGCTGCTTTAAAACAATCTGTATTGTAAAAAGCGCTATATAAATAAAGGTATTAATATTAATATTTAACAATAGTATTGATCTGCGTGCATTGACAGCATTATACGAGAACTGAACTGAACTGGACGATGACATCACTGTTTTCTCCAGAGCGGCTATATATATATAAAAGAACTAAATTAAAAACTTTTTTACAACAAAAATGAACCATCACTGAACTTACTTAAGCTGGACTATGACGCTATTTTCTTCTAGAAACAAACTTTGTTGCATTATTATGTCTGTAAAGCTGCTATGAAACACTCTGCATTGTAAAGAGCGCTGTATAAATAAAGCTTGACTTCTGACGCACGTTCTCTCCTACAGTCTTGGCTGGGGCCGCTTTTAGCGCATGAGAGCTTCATCAAAGTGGACACGGAGTGCGTGAGTCCCGTCGAGGTCCTGAAGCAACCGGTCGCTGGTGATTCCCGAAGCTCACACCGAGACAGAGACAGCGACGGCCTGCAGGACCGATGGGACGGAACCAGCAAATCCTCCAACTTCTCAAACTCCACCTACTTCTTGTCCCAGACTTCGAAGGGGCCGATCGACACCCTGGAGCCGTGCTCGACGGACTCCTCCTACGGGCCAGCAGGGGGCGTCAGCGGGCCGGACCCGGGTCACGCTCACGTCACTCGCGAATCTGAAGAGAAGGAGCTTGAACTGAAGACCCTGGAGAGGCTCCGGCAGGACACGCAGAGCCCAGATTCGGGTTTCGCCGGCGGGGCCGAGGACAGCATGGAGGAGTCGGACCTTCCCAGTCCTTTGGCTTTAAACCTGACCCGGCTCCTGCCACAGGGCCTGCCGGCTCCTCATCCCATCATGCACCTTGGCTTCAAGCACACGGCTGGTTTCGGCTGCGGGTTTCCGGGACTAATGGAGCTGGACCTTCAGAGCCCGTGTGGGATGATCGAGCCCTCTAGTGGCGATTACATGCCAGTTAAGAGTGTGCAGAATTAACATTGTTGTTCACAGTTCAGACTGAAGAGGTCATGAATAATCAGGACTCACTAAACTTGAGTTGCGGTTTAGCTACGATCAGAAACGCTCAGGGCTTGATATTAACACCAGCAATATACATTTTTATACTTTGGAAAAGCCATCTCATCAAAAGGCATCTGAAATAATAAACTAAGTATAAAAATATAGATTTTTCAATACATATGGAGACTGAAATATCTGAAACGCTTCCAATGATCATTTTCCTCAGAATAGATATCGAGCGTAGCGTCAGTTCTGGCAGGTCACGTTAGTCGAGCTCGCATCAGTGACTCTCAGCTGATCCACGTCCACCTATAGGAATACGACGCCTATCACTGTATTCATATATAAGCTCCTTCAGTATTATCAGCAGCTATTGCATTTTTTAGGAGCTGATTACCCTCCTCCCTCCCCAGCTCCTCTCGTTTCTCAGGAGCTGATTACCCTCCTCCATCCCCAGCTCCTCTCGTTTCTCAGGAGCTGATTACCCTCCTCCATCCCCAGCTCCTCTCGTTTCTCAGGAGCTCGTTACCCTCCTCCCTCCCCAGCTCCTCTCGTTTCTCAGGAGCTCGTTACCCTCCTCCCTCCCCAGCTCCTCTTGTTTCTCAGGAGCTGGTTACCCTCCTCCATCCCCAGCTCCTCTCGTTTCTCAGGAGCTCGTTACCCTCCTCCATCCCCAGCTCCTCTCGTTTCTCAGGAGCTGATTACCCTCCTCCATCCCCAGCTCCTCTCGTTTCTCAGGAGCTGATTACCCTCCTCCATCCCCAGCTCTTCTCGTTTCTCAGGAGCTCGTTACCCTCCTCCATCCCCAGCTCCTCTCGTTTCTCAGGAGCTCGTTACCCTCCTCCCTCCCCAGCTCCTCTTGTTTCTCAGGAGCTGGTTACCCTCCTCCATCCCCAGCTCCTCTCGTTTCTCAGGAGCTCGTTACCCTCCTCCATCCCCAGCTCCTCTCGTTTCTCAGGAGCTGATTACCCTCCTCCATCCCCAGCTCCTCTCGTTTCTCAGGAGCTGATTACCCTCCTCCATCCCCAGCTCTTCTCGTTTCTCAGGAGCTCGTCACCCTCCTCCATCCCCAGCTCCTCTCGTTTCTCAGGAGCTCGTTACCCTCCTCCCTCCCCAGCTCCTCTTGTTTCTCAGGAGCTGGTTACCCTCCTCCCTCCCCAGCTCTTCTCGTTTCTCAGGAGCTCGTTACCCTCCTCCATCCCCAGCTCCTCTCGTTTCTCAGGAGCTGATTACCCTCCTCCATCCCCAGCTCCTCTCGTTTCTCAGGAGCTGATTACCCTCCTCCATCCCCAGCTCTTCTCGTTTCTCAGGAGCTCGTTACCCTCCTCCATCCTCAGCTACTCTCGGTTCTCAAGAGCTTGTTACCCTCCTCCCTCCCCAGCTCCTCTCGTTTCTCAGGAGCTGATTACCCTCCTCCATCCCCAGCTCCTCTCGTCTCTCAGGAGCTCGTTACCCTCCTCCCTCCCCAGCTCCTCTCGTTTCTCAGGAGCTCGTTACCCTCCTCCATCCCCAGCTCCTCTCGTTTCTCAGGAGCTCGTTACCCTCCTCCATCCCCAGCTCCTCTCGTCTCTCAGGAGCTCGTTATCCTCCTCCCTCCCCAGCTCCTCTCGTTTCTCAGGAGCTCGTTACCCTCCTCCCTCCCCAGCTACTCTCGTTTCTCAGGAGCTCGTTACCCTCCACCATCCCCAGCTCCTCTCGTCTCTCAGGAGCTCGTTACCCTCCTCCCTCCCCAGCTCCTCTCGTTTCTCAGGAGCTCGTTACCCTCCTCCCTCCCCAGCTACTCTTGTTTCTCAGGAGCTCGTTACCCTCCTCCATCCCCAGCTCCTCTCGTTTCTCAGGAGCTCGTTACCCTCCTCCCTCCCCAGCTCCTCTCGTTTCTCAGGAGCTGATTACCCTCCTCCCTCCCCAGCTCCTCTCGTTTCTCAGGAGCTCGTTACCCTCCTCCCTCCCCAGCTCCTCTCGTTTCTCAGGAGCTCGTTACCCTCCTCCATCACCAGCTCCTCTCGTTTCTCAGGAGCTCGTTACCCTCCTCCATCCCCAGCTCCTCTCGTTTCTCAGGAGCTGATTACCCTCCTCCATCCCCAGCTCCTCTCGTTTCTCAGGAGCTCGTTACCCTCCTCCCTCCCCAGCTCCTCTCGTTTCTCAGGAGCTGGTTACCCTCCTCCCTCCCCAGCTCCTCTCGTTTCTCAGGAGCTGATTACCCTCCTCCATCCCCAGCTCCTCTCGTTTCTCAGGAGCTGATTACCCTCCTCCATCCCCAGCTCCTCTCGTCTCTCAGGAGCTCGTTACCCTCCTCCATCCCCAGCTCCTCTCGTCTCTCAGGAGATCGTTACCCTCCTCCCTCCCCAGCTCCTCTCGTTTCTCAGGAGCTTGTTACCCTCCTCCCTCCCCAGCTCCTCTCGTCTCTCAGGAGCTCGTGACCCTCCTCCCTCCCCAGCTCCTCTCGTTTCTCAGGAGCTGATTACCCTCCTCCATCCCCAGCTCCTCTCGTCTCTCAGGAGCTCGTTACCCTCCTCCATCCCCAGCTCCTCTCGTTTCTCAGGAGCTTGTTACCCTCCTCCCTCCCCAGCTCCTCTCGTTTCTCAGGAGCTTGTTACCCTCCTCCCTCCCCAGCTCCTCTCGTTTTTCAGGAGCTTGTTACCCTCCTCCCTCCCCAGCTCCTCTCGTCTCTCAGGAGCTGATTACCCTCCTCCCTCCCCAGCTCCTCTCGTTTCTCAGGAGCTTGTTAGCCTCCTCCCTCCCCAGCTCCTCTCGTTTCTCAGGAGCTTGTTACCCTCCCCCCCCCCCCAGCTCCTCTCGTTTTTCAGGAGCTCGTTACCCTCCTCCCTCCCCAGCTCCTCTCGTTTCTCAGGAGCTTGTTACCCTGCTCCCTCCCCAGCTCCTCTCGTCTCTCAGGAGCTGATTACCCTCCTCCCTCCCCAGCTCCTCTCGTCTCTCAGGAGCTCGTTACCCTCCTCCCTCCCCAGCTACTCTCGTTTCTCAGGAGCTTGTTACCCTCCTCCATCCCCAGCTCCTCTCGTCTCTCAGGAGCTCGTTACTCTCCACCATCCCCAGTTCCTCTCGTTTCTCAGGAGCTCGATACCCTCCTCCCTCCCCAGCTCCTCTCGTTTCTCAGGAGCTCGTTACCCTCCTCCCTCCCCAGTTCCTCTCGTTTCTCAGGAGCTCGTTACCCTCCTCCCTCCCCAGCTACTCTCGTTTCTCAGGAGCTGGTTACCCTCCTCCATCCCCAGCTCCTCTCGTTTCTCAGGAGCTCGTTACCCTCCTCCATCCCCAGCTCCTCTCGTCTCTCAGGAGCTCGTTACCCTCCTCCATCCCCAGCTCCTCTCGTTTCTCAGGAGCTCGTTACCCTCCTCCATCCCCAGCTCCTCTCGTTTCTCAGGAGCTCGTTACCCTCCTCCCTCCCCAGCTCCTCTCGTTTCTCAGGAGCTCGTTACCCTCCTCCATCCCCAGCTTCTCTCGTTTCTCAGGAGCTCGTTACCCTCCTCCATCCCCAGCTCCTCCTGTCGCCCAGTCAGGATTTGGCATTCTGATTCCCCTTGAATCAGAATAAATTCTCAAATTATGTTGTACTTTTAAAATCTTGAATTAATGATATCTGCATACATTCATGTTGATCCTGTTCTGTTTCCCCTAAGAGGGGGGGGGGGGGGGGTTATCGCTGATCTTATCCATGCTAGGCCTCATGGATGCGCAGGGAGTTCTCGCCTAGAACAGAACCATACCGCCAATCCAAACTGTATGCTAATTGTCAATCGTATTTGACTATAGTGGTCCTGACAGAAACACAATACCAGTTGCTCTTTCTCTCTCTCTTATCTCTCTGAAAGCGAGAGACACACAAGCCCGCCTTCACTCACTCACTCGCTTCATTCGCTCTGGATGAATATTGTTGGTGTTACAGGGCTTGAGTTTCGGCGAGGCATTGCTCATATTAAGCATATTTTTACTCATTCCCGCAGATTTCGTGTTTACTCCAAAAGTGCGGCACATAAAGACACCTTTCAGAACTAAATTGAGCTATTTTTCGCTGCTTATTCGCTGTTCAGAATATTATTATAGTTTCAGATGAGAGGATTTATTATATTTTACACCCTGTATGTTATCGTAATATATTATTTTAATTTATAAGATGTTTACATGTATATTTTGAAAATGATGCCTGCTGTTTGGAAGAATGTAAGAGAAGTCGGTGTGTAAGAACGACTTCAGTTTGCTGCTAATTTATATATTAAAATATTTGTGCTCTGATTGGATGTGTGGATGTCTAGGTTTCTCTGATTGGATGTGTGGATGTCTAGGTTTCTCTGATTGGATGTGAAAAGCTTTCTTATATAATTACCAACTGAAATGACTTTTCACAGGTGATATGAGAAGCTGGTGACTTTATATATTAATGATTTCAGAATTTTTTAGAAGTAAATACTTTTTCATGGCACTGTATTGCTTAATAATCAATGGGACTAGTTTACAATAAACACGCTAGTAATGGAAGAATATACAAACAACAATAGATGCTTAAGCTTAAGTACTCACCTAAACACATCAACCACAGAAAATTGTTTTATGTATTTTTCTTTCATCATGATATACTGTCATATTAATAAGCTACATTTTGAATGGAACAAAATGTAGAGGTGGCAACACTTGAACACATTTGTGTTAACATGTACTTAAATTATTTTAAAAAACTGGGAAAGCCTGTATATCGATCATGTCCCAGAGGAGCATCATCATTCTTTTTTTTTCATTCTTTTTTTCATTGATGTTAACGAATTACAACTACAGTCAGGGGGGTACATTAAGTAAAAAACACACAAACGAACAACAAAAAAGACAAATATATGTGACAAACTTAAAAGTTAAACAAAAATGTGAAAATGTTTACAGATTGAAACACACTTTGCAGCTTTCTTATTTTTCAAACCAATTGTGTTTAGGTATTGCTGATTTTCTGATTTTAAAATTTAAAACAAAGGCTTGTTTCCTCCAAATGTACGTTCTGCACACAGGTGAGCCCGACCGGGTGACGTCACGCAGGTGCGTTGCGCAGGTGAGCGCGTTGCTGGGCGGTGACTGTTTATTATAAGAGATCCGTTATTAATATTCTCACTTTAGATAAAGGCAGTATCTCATCAGCAGACGCGTTTATATGAACACTGTGGCTTTAGTGTCCACGCACTGTCCTCAGATCAGCAGATCTACTTCACTATTGATCCGCAACGGACTTCGGACTGACAAACACAAGCGTTTCCCTCAGAACATGTGTGAAGAACCGAACATGTGTGGAGTCTGAGTCCTGGAGAAGAACCAGCCGAATCAGGACCGACGGAACCGAAGATGAACCCGCGATAACGGTTCGGTCGATGATGGAGCTCGGAAACGGGTTCACAAAGGATCCGAATCAAGACTGCGACACCAACCCAGTGAGAGAGCCGCATGTTTCTCGCCAATAACACAGCCAACTCATTGCACAACAAGAACTGAGAAGTTATTTGAGAAGAATTTGTGAATATTCGTGTGTTTCGTGTTTATAGGCTACACAGGAATCGCGCGCCGATCCGGATCCGTCCCATAAAAGGAGGAGCTTCCCGAAATGGCTGATTGGCCTCATCTTCCTCATCATCATCTTCATCTCGGCTGGGTCTGCATGTGTTATCTGGTACTTTCTGGGTGAGGAAACGTTCACACATGCGTTCAGCACAATATCTCTGCTAGAACATGTGAATTTCCTACACTCTAAAAAATGCTGGGTTGTTTCAACGCAAATTTGGGTCAAATATGGACAAACCCAAATGTTGGGTTAAAAATGTTATTTAAAATTTTAACCCAACTTCAACTTTCACTTTCAACTGTAAATTTTTTAATTACATTTTTAACCCAACATTTGGGTTTGTCCATATTTGACCCAAATTTGGGTTGAAACAACCCAGCATATTTTAGAGTGTACTAAATGTGAACATGTTTCGAGAGGATTTTAGCACATCTTGCAGTATTGCTTTAATCAAAACATCCTGTAGCCTACATTTATTCATTTTTGACTGATTGACCGAGAAATCAAATGACAGAATCCCAGTCCAGCTGAATTACATGATAGTATAATCATGTGAATTATGTGCGGGCTTTTAGTTGTGATGTCAAAGATGAATCCACATTAAATTATTCTGCTCAGCAATTGGGTATGATAAATAATGAAATTATTCATTATTATTGACAACGGCGGAAAACTTTTGAAAAACAAGATTTAAAGTGCAAGTTTTTCAAAACGACACCTATTGTCTCTGTGTAAACTACAAAAACTACAAATCCTTCCAGTCTTCTGACATTTGATAAAGCATCAAACATTACAGTACTCATGATAACTTTTGTTAACTCTACAATAAGTAAACCCACTTCACCAACTCTTCGACCGCAATGCCATAGAAAGATACAGATCTACTGCAAAAACTGAATTTCATAGACAAAATGCTAAAGATTGCTGCACGCTTGTTATTTATTTATTTTTATTTTTTATTCAACTTTCATAATAGCTTAAAATGACATTTAACATCAAACATAAGACAAACAGACATTGGGGAAAACATATAACAGATCTTACATTGTACAGAGTAAAACGTTAAATTCTACAAATTATTTTTAAATTACGTCTATAGGCGCGTGTGTACAGAGTGACAGCGCCATCTACTGGCCTGGAGCAGAATACAGCGGTTTAATCATTTCGCGGGTCCAAGTGAACGGGATCGTTTTGACTACATTGTCGTCTGTACACGGAAAACGCAAAGGAAAAACTTTTTCATTTTTAGTACTTCGCTGTCATGTAAACGAACCCTTAGTTGGACGTTCGACTAACATTTTTTAAATGTAACTGCTTGTTTCAGAACGTTCAGAGAACATTCAAAAGTAACGTTCCATAATGTGTGAAGAATGATACAATGTAACATTCCCTGCATAACAAAGAAAAAAAGTGTTTAACATTTAAATAACTGGACGTTTTGAACATTCAGAAATAACATGTTTATAAATGAATGGGAACATTTGCCAAACGTTCTTAAAACATATTTCGTTAGCTAGGTTCAGAGTGACAGGTGTTCGTCAAAAACCACAGAAACATGAACACAAACTTACTGAGTGCTCTGGGTGAGTGTAACCTTTAGCCACCCGTCTCACGTTCTGTGTGTGTGTGTGTGTGTGTGTGTGTGTGTGTTTAGAGTACAGGGTCTGGGTGCTGGAGCCGCGGGTGATTCAACAGTACACGGCCAGTGTTTCCATCCTGAATAAGAACTTCTCTGTGAGCCTGACCAGTCATGAGAGCTCAGAGTTCAGAGCCGAGGCGACGTCTGTGCAGAACATGGTGAGGAAACATAGCATAGCCTGTGTGTGTGTGTGTGTGTGTGTGTAAGAACTAGTAGCAGTTAGTCAAGAGGTAATCAGTTATTCAAATTCAGATTCAAATCAGAATTTACCTTTTTATGTAACTGAAAAAGTTATGATCAGACTTTAAAGGGGTCATCGGATGCAAAATTCATTGTTACATGGTGTTTGCATTTAAATGTGTGTTTGCAGTGTGTGGACACGATCAGCATACAATGAAGAAAATCCATTCAATTCTTTTTTTTCAATCCTCAAAAAGCCTAAACACTCTCAATAGTCAAGCCGTTTGGATTTTCTGAGCAATATGATGTCATAATGCTCCGCCCACGACCGCTGACGGACTGTCCCGTATTAGCATATTTCCCGTATTAGCATATTTCCCATATTAGCATATTTCCTGTATTAGCATATTTCCTATATTAGCATATATCCCATATTAGCATATTTCCGCCCTCCGCCATTTGTATACTGTCCGCCAAGGCATCACTTTAGTGTCTTGTGTCAACGCCCCATGGAAGAGGGGGGGGGGGGGCAGATGCTCATTATCATTTAAAGAGACATGCACCTCATTATCATTTAAAGAGACATGCACCTCATTATCATTTAAAGAGGCATGCAGCTCATTATTTAAAGAGACATGCACCTCATTATCATTTAAAGAGACATGCACCTCATTATCATTTAAAGAGACATGCAGCTCATTATCATTTAAAGAGACATGCAGCTCATTATCATTTAAAAAGACATGCAGCTCATTATCATTTAAAGAGACATGCACCTCATTATCATTTAAAGAGACATGCACCTCATTATCCTTTAAGAGACATGCAGCTCATTATTTAAAGAGACATGCACCTCATTATCATTTAAAGAGACATGCACCTCATTATCATTTAAAGAGACATGCAGCTCATTATCATTTAAAAAGACATGCACCTCATTATCATTTAAAGAGACATGCACCTCATTATCATTTAAAGAGACATGCACCTCATTATCATTTAAAGAGACATGCAGCTCATTATCATTTAAAAAGACATGCACCTCATTATCATTTAAAGAGACATGCACCTCATTATCATTTAAAAAGACATGCAGCTCATTTTCATTTAAAGAGACATGCACCTCATTATAATTTAAAGAGACATGCACCGAAATGGGTCGCTGTGAACAGAGCTGTTTTTGAGGAGGTTAAAGGGTGTTGTTTTACACGACCATTGAGGAATTTTGACCAAATTGTGTTACAAACTTTACATGAAGTCCCTGAAGAATCACACCAACTCGTGGGAAATGGGCATCCGACGACCCCTTTAAGAAAGAAATCAGGGGCCTCATTTATAACCGTTGCGTTGCACAAAACAGGCCCTGGACGAGCCGTACGCCACTTCTCACGCATGAGTTACGATTCATAAAAACAAACTTGGGAAAATTTGCTCAAACTCTGATCCATGCTTACGAACATTCTGGAGCCGGATCAGTTTGGCGACACCGATCGAGATTTGAGGGACTGACGAAGGAAAACCACTTTAATATTCATTATGAGTCCCAATCATAAATACAGTGCATGTTCACAATAACAGTTTAAATACATAAAATACTGATTTAAACTATGTTTTACATCTGATATACACATTTAGATTAAACATGGCATTCCCATTAATGGAGTTAAGCACTTAAATTACATCAAATCATTACAGAGAAGTTACAACATTTTTAATATTCTAATAAATAGAAATATTTGTAGTGGATGCGATGCTTTTGAACACTTTTCCTGTGTCATGCTGGGCTTTAATGTTTGATTAGCGCATAATAATAGCAGAACTCGTGGTCTGAGAAAATGTTTTTGAGCAAATAATGATCAATAATGTACAATAAGGCCTATCAGTTTCAAATAAAAAATAAAAAGCAATTAAAAATATTATTTGGCCAGTGGAAAAGATTGAGAAAAACTTTCTCTGAAATGTTTTTTATACTATTTGATTTATTGATTCAAAAACAAGGCAAGGATCGGCTACTAAATTATTTTTAGCAATAATGTGACGCATATCCGTATCTCATATTTTCCTAATGTGTTGTACCATTACACATAGTATCACGTGGATGAATATGCATATGCAAATTATATGCAAATGATGATATGCATAAACGCTCCAGATATGGTTGTTCTGGGGAGGAGACGCATGTGCGCACAATCTTCCGCTGGCTGGGATTTATAAAGGGAATTTTGCACGGTTTTATAAGTCTGAATATTTTTTGGCATACGCCATTTTTGGCATTCGGCGCACGTACACTATAAGTAAGGATCCAACGCACGTTTTATAAATGAGAGCCCTGGGGCCGGTTTCACAAAGATAGACTCTGACTACGGCTTAGATATAGTAGATATAGTCAGACTTCAGATAGACATCTAAATCAGACCGTTGCACAAAGCACTGAAGACTCAGACTATCTTAAGTAGGACTACACTGCAATGCATTCTGGGTAAAATAAGACACTTTTCAAAACAAAAAAACATGGCGGATCGAGTAAGCGTATTCACCCGCTCAGTGCAGTTTACCCCAGCGGGAGATATGTGTTTGTTGGAGGAGTGTAACAGTTACAAGGACATTTTACTTGGGAGATTTAGCGGAGAATGTAGTAACGAGAAGAAATGTTTAATTTGGACAAAGATTGCTACGACAGTAACAGCGTTAATCCGACCGCTGAGCGGAGCGTTAAAGATGTACAGAAAAGATACAAAAACATGGTACAAGATGCCAAAAAAGAAATATTTAAGAGGAAATATCCAAAAACAGGAGGAGGACCCCAATATAAACGTAAAGACACTGAAATAGTGATAAATATATATATGTTAAGGGCCATT